GTCGCGAACCATTTCAACTCCCCCTCCCATTCCTCAGACGACATGTCCATCCTGGGCCTCCTGCAGTGCCACAACGATGCCACCCGAAGGTTGCAGGAACAGCAACTCATATTCCGCTTGGGAACCCTGCAGCCCAATGGTATCAATGTGGATTTCACAAGTTTCAAAATCTCCCCTCCCCCCACCGCATCCCAAAACCAGTCCAACTCGTCCCTGCCTCCCTAACCTGTTCTTCCTCCCACCTATCCCCTCCTCCCACCTCAAGCCGCACCTCCATCTCCTACCGACCAACCTCATCCCGCCCCCTTGACCTGTCCGTCCTCCCTGGACTGACCTATCCCCTTCCTAACTCCCTACCTGCACTCACCTTTCCTGGCCCCATCCCCGCCTCTTCGACCTGTTTGTTTCCTCTCCACCTATCCTCTCCTCTATCCCTCTTCTATCCGCCTCCCACTCTCTCCCTATTTATTTCAAAACCCCCTTCCCCTCCCCCTTTTCTGATGAAGGGTCTAGGCCCGAAACGTCAGCCTCTCTGCTCCTATGATGCTGCTTGGCCTGCTGTGTTCATCCAGCCCTGCACCTTGTTGTCAAGGTTTAGAGGGAAGTAGGCCAAATAGGACTAGATTAGTTTAGGATCTCAGGGTCACCGGACCTGAAACGTTATTTAACCCTGATTTCTCCTCACAGATGCTGCCAGACCTGCTGATCTTTTCCAGCAATTTCTGTTTTTGTTTCAGATTTACAACATCCACAGTTCTTTCGGGTTTTTTGTTTGAGATTAGTTTAGGATGACTGGTCAACATGGTCGAGTTGGACTGAAGGGTCCGTTTCCGTGCCATGTAACTCAATGACACTACGCTGCTGGCTCTTTTAACGTTGCGGACTCGCTTTATTGCAGACGCTAATTGCTCGAAAACGGCAGTTGACATCAGGCTGGCGCGAGCGAACCGCACAACGTGCCCATCTAAACTCCGCCCTTTTCCAAGCGAATCCCCACCTCCCGACCCCACAGCACTGGCCACGTCCTAACCACGCCCGTCACCCACCTAGCCCCTCCCTGGCTAGGTGGGGCGCAGTGTGCGCCGGGACGGCTGGTGACGTTGCACAATAACAAAGTAGGCAGTGAGGGAGGAGTGAAGTATGTTTATATTTTGTGATTGATGGCGACATGGATGCGAGTTCTGTCTCTATGGCAGGCAATGATCATAATTTCTTGAAACATCCAGGCAAAAGATATTGCCAACCCGAAAGGTAAAGCAAACCATATTTAGCGATGAAATTAATTAGGAGTGAATGAGAACCGGGCGTGAATTCGCTGTACAACTTGCCTACAGTTTACTGGCTACTCGAGATGTGTTTGTCACTGGGCCTTACTCTAATGCAGTTTTCAAAACATTGGCAGTCGCGCACTTAAAAATTCACTTTGGATTTCAGAGGCTAGTGGTGCGGTTGGTAAACTTTATTGACGGCGGATTTGTTCTCACAATTTAGCCAAAGCGAATTTCTGTGAAGATTTATCACAAAACGTTTTGTTTTCCTGTCGGTACAATCGCCCATTTAAAACAAAACTCATGATGGTAAACTACGCCGTGAATTTTGTACTGCTGTCTTACTACGGATTAAGAATTGAGTAAGGAAAAGTTGATTTGGATAAATGGAAATGTACAGTCGGCAAATTTACATTTTTATGGCTTGGTCTCCCTTTTTTAAAAATCCAACCTGTAACTTGATGGAAAGTTGCAATTATTGTATTTCAACAGTGATGTGTGTTGATGTGTTTTCTTGTTGAACTACCCAAATGACCATGTCTTTGTGAACCTAAACGATGTTTTAAAGGGTTTTGGTTCACTTTTGGGACATTCACTAATGGAAATTCATGCTACATGCCTGCCCCTCCAACAACGCTAGTCTACACTAATCACAATGCATACTCTCTCCGAGTCATTGGCTAAGTAAGTTCACACGTGTGAAATAGCACACGTTTGTACAAGTCAGAACCATAACTTAATCAAATGAACCAGGTATTTCTCGGCTGATGCATTTGTGGAATCGTTTTGGACTATGATTGTGACAATGCCATATTGTGTTTGCAAAAATTTATTCATAGCACTATTAGTTTTTAGAATGAGAATGTTACTTGGAAGGAACAATGTTAAGTGTTTACTGATGGTATTTAAAAGAAAAACTAGTTAAAATAGGCCCATTGAAAGAACTGTCATTTTGCCTTGTATTGTTTAATCATTTGAACCCTGAATGCATCATTCTCCGAAAAAGACTGTGAAATACAAATTTCTTATCCTAGCCATATTAAGAATGCAAAAAAAATGGAAGCAGTTGGATTTTAGATTTGTCTGTCTTAGTATTTAAAGAATTTTTGCCAAGTGGCTGCAAATCATAATTTGAAAAAGTCAACAGCTTCTTTGAGTAGGTTATCCAGTATGGTTTTGGACAGTTGGCCATTTTCTTCTTCCCTTGTTCTTGTAAGGAATAGTGAAAGAAAGCAAGAATTTTTAATTAAACAATGCATTTTATTTTGTAGGATGTCCGAAATTGCTTCAAAATGATGTTTTTTTGTAAGTCTTGTCATGTTTGTTAGGCATATGCAGTAATACACAGTGAATGAGGTGAGGCAGCAATGGAATACGTGTCTCAGGCTATTTCTTTCATAGAAATTATTTATGTCCATTTGACCAGACTATAGTTAAGGTCTCATCCAAAAGACAGTGCCCCCAGTAATCCTACATTAGAATAAAAGAAGCAGAAGTTCGAATTGGTCCTTCAAGCCTGCTCCACTATTTGGCAAGGTAATAGCTAATCCTCTACCTCAACTCCACCTGCCTGCATTATTACCATATTCCTTTGAATATATTCAATAAAATTTGGGTTCTAAGACAGAAGTCAATGAATATGTTGGTTGAGGTTGTTGACTTGCTCGCCGAGCTGGCTTGCTCTTGTTCAGACGTTTCATCACCATGCTACGTGACGTCATCAGTGGAGCCTCTGATGAAGTGATGCGAATAAAGCTGTGACGTCAAAGGATACCATAATCTCGTCGTTGCTGATTTTTATATTCTTGAGGGTATCAAGGAAATCTTAGGTTTAGTGAATGGAATGGTGATCTGTCAACTAGGTGTTTCAATCTCTGTTGCAGGTTCTTAGCCAGTTTGTGTGAAGGTGTGCCTGGTACGTTCTGAGGGGGCTGTTTGGTTTGTGTACTTTAGGATGTCCATAGAAGTGGGGAGTGTTTGTGCCTTCTGGTTTCATTCTCATGTAGTCCGTCTTGGTAATCTGTCCTGCATTTTTTAATCCCTTCAGTGTCTAGGTGATCCTATTACTTAGCTGTGGGTGTTGGGTCTATCGCCACCTGTTACGCGGACTGAACTATAAACCACAAAGATGCGAACAGAACAGACTTCATGGCCGCTTTGGAGACTACATTAAAAGATGACAGACTCATGGGCGAAACATAACAAGCCATCCAACAAACTATAATCCCCACACTACACAGAAGGAACAAAGGGGACAACCTGAACACAGAGAGAAAAGCACTAGATAAACTCAGGAAAGACAAGAACATCATAATTCTACCAGTAGACAAAGAGCGCATGACCGTCATTATGAACAAACCAGACTACGTTAAGAAAGCACAGACATAGCTTGCAGATACAACCACTTAACAACAAAAGCTGTCTGATATGCTGAATATTTACAGCATTTTGTTTTTATTTCAGATTTCCAGCATCATAGTATTTTGCTTTTAAATTTCATTATGGATATATTTGTATACTGGTGAATTTTGGTTATATTCTGTTTCTGTTGAAGAATCATTTGAGTAGAACCCCCAGAATATACTTTGTAATCCATCTTTATGATTAACAATCAACATACAATTGTTTCAATGAAATTACTAAAATAATGAAGCACACTTTCTGTTCTAAAGATTGTATTGTTCCCAGGTACAATCCATTGTGAGATTATCCCTAACTTGTATTGGTGAATTCAAGAAATTCAGTTGCCTAACTGCTGAGGTCTGGTTTTGTAATCTCAATTTCATGGCAACATTACCGTTAGCTTTTAGTTTTATGAAGATTAGAAAAAACACTTCTCAACCTATCTGCATAGTCACAACATGAGGAATAACAGAAGAAAAATGGAAGATGTTTTAACTTGTATGCTGATTGATTTACGCTGAGTATCTTTGTATAAGCTTGTGTCATTTCATTTATATCTAAGCACGTTGCTTTTTTATAAAATTTTTATTCTAGGTCAAAGACGTTATTTGAAGAGATCCGAGCATCTGTTACAAATAATTCAAATGAAGATAGATCCTTCTGGAGACCTGTTCTTCCATCGGGTGGAGTGTATACCATTAAAGCTGGAAGAAAGGCAATGGCCTGCACTCCATTGTATGTTAGGATAAGCCTAAAAAACACTTGCAGCATTGATGGGTTTTTGATGTTGCTGTATGTAATTCTCAGTGAAAATGAGAATTTTTGTCGAGAATTATCAAGCTACTTGGGAAAGGAATTTGTTGAGCGTTTTCTGTATTTGATGGACTCTTGTAAATTCACAACTGTCAAGTTGTTGTGGATTTGGGATAAAATGGAAAAATGTCAATACAGATCAGAAGTCCACAAAGCTTCATTAGAAATTGATCTTTTTGGAAATGAACATGAAAACTTCACAAGAAATCTGGAGAATCTTATGTCTACAATCCAGGAAACATTTTGTTCCAATAGGAAATGTCCTGCACGTGCACAGGAAGATCACCGCAAGACAATTATTATCTTGTAGGTTGATCTTTTATTTATATCAGCATGGAACTGGGTGGTACTGTTTTCTCTTGGTCAGCATTGGAACCTGCGTTTAGCACATTAATTTGAGTCCAGTGAACTGAGGATGATGTGAAATTAATTGGAACAATCTAAGTCTTGGTCTGTCTGGCTGTGAGTATACAGGAGAAAAATAACGTTTGATGTGTTTTTTTTAAATAACGAAGAAATAACTGCTGTGGGAAATAAGATAACTGAAACTGGTGCGACAGATGTGTTCTTTTGATGTTGGATGGAATATAATGAGTTTCATTCTGTTTTTGGAAGCATAAGATATTTTCTGGATTTATCGCCATATCTGGAACAAAATCTAACTTTTTTAAAGAAATATTAGGCTTTCAGTGGGTCTGAGTTTAAGCGATCCTTTAAAATTTCAGTTTGGGATACATCATACTGTGATGAGTATGTATGTTTTGCCAGTCAGATCTGTAATTTTACTTCATGCCACTTATATGAAATGGACGATTTAATTCTGCTAAAGCATTAATGTGATCTTGTGCTAAAACTAGCTTACCACTAAATGCTCCTGTGATGGAACTGGTTTGTTGAATGCTAAAAGTTATGACTTTATGCATTTAGGTAATTGGAATTTCATTTATGCACAATAAAGTCGCAATTGGTAGAAATCATGGAAAATGAGTACTGTAAAAACGGAAGCTGGTCTTGGACTGTCCTGTTGAAACAATAAAGTACGGGATGGCAGGGGAAATAGTCTAAAAAAAAAAGTGAGAGTGTCACGTATCCCATTAATAAAATCTGTAACAAAGTCATTTATTGCCTCAATCGAAACAGAAATTGCTGGAGAAACTCACCAGGTCTGGAAACATCTGTGGAGAGATTGCAGAGTTAGTGTTTCGAGGCTAGTGACCCTTGTTCAGAACTAGAAGCAGTTAGGAAAAGGAGGTGTTTTTGCTGATCAGGGAGGAGGAGAGGGGGAAGGAATGAATGGATTGGTGAAGATAGAGCATGAGATGAAAGGGTAGGAAGACAAAAGGATTGTTGATAGTTATTGATAATTGGTCATTTATTGCTAGTTGTATCTAGAGAAATTATGGAACTAACTACAAAGTCCAAGCTAATTCCTTTTTTTAAAATCAGAGTTTTGAATTATTGTTTTACTCATTCAAAGGTAGTGTAAATAAAACTGATTTGCATTTTTAAACAAATTGTTGAACCTATTCAAGAGGAATTTCTCACTTGACAGTTCTACACGTCTTCAGTACAAGATGGAATTATTATTTAAGAAGTAGTTGTTGAAAAACTACTTTCAAATATGAAGGAAGCTAGCAGAAAAATTAAGAGAAGTCTACACTGAACGAACATCAAATCATTCATTTAGACCTTTGTTAAATTATGGATTTATCTTTGGCAAAAGTATTTGAACAAGCAGGTTTAGGTTGTAAGAAATAACCAGAAATCGTAAACACTACATTCATTATAGAATCCCTACAGTGTGGAAGCAAGCCATTTGGCCCATCAAGTTCACATCAACCCTTTGAAGATCATCCCACCCAGACCCATCCCCCTGCATAACCTGCACATCTTTGGACTGTAGGAGGACCCAGAGAAAACAGAGGCTGGAATCAAACCTGGGTCCCTGGTGCTGTGAGACAGAAGTGCTAACCACTGAGCCACCATGCTGCCCAGTCAATTTAATCACAAATTTTGACACTACAATTGCTTGGGTAGTACTTCTGGTTAATATGAACTTGAGTTCATCATGTATTGTCCTACAGGAGTCAAATCCAGTAAAAAAAAAAATCGGAATTTTAAAAACAATCAAATGATTGCCAGATTTGGTCCCATCACAGAAGCACGTGTTGTATTATTGAAAATGAGTGCTTTGAAAACATTACACTATAATCAGCATTAATGTAAGAAATTTTAGTCAAAGTATTTGTCTTTTAATCTAATTTAGATATGGAATATATTGAAAATATGCATTTTATTGTTTATGATCTGATTTCTAATTCAGATGCTAAGTTCTCTTTTCCCCCCAAAGACCTTCACATGATTCTCTCCTGGGAGATGTTATTCAAGCAGCAGTTGATGAATTGTTCTGTCCCAGGACTCAGCTATGCGAAGAACTTGGGTATGTTCACACTTCATTCACATTCTTATAAACTGATCAGAAGTGGATATATATTTGCTGGTTACTTAATTGCTCATTTTGTATGCATTGGGTTAATGTCTGTCGCAGGAAATTAGTTACTGTGATAAGATTCTGGCTGGAGCTCTGCCAGTGTTTAAATAAAACAATGCCAAATTAATTTGGTATGACTCAAAGTTGAATAATAACCAACATAGTATCCAGTAAATGAATGCCCTTTTATCCTTGCCTGTCCTTTTACTTGTCTTTTGTTCCCCCCATGTCTGTTCCTTGGTTGAGAGATTGAGCTAAAGACCTGTTCAGTGTAATTACTGCTCTGCAGCTGCCTACTAGAAGGTATGATAGTGGATTGTGTATGTAATTGAAAAAAATCTTCCATTTGCCCTGGATCCAACAGTGCAATTAGTTTTGATTTTACTGCAAGATGCAGTTTCAGGGTGAGTCAGTAAACTCTTAAAAATAAGCTTCATCCATCTAGTTGGATGCTTGAGAGGTGGAGTGGGGTGTTCGGGGTGGGGCACAACATTCCATGATTGTATATTTGGATATGATTTCAAATGTAAATCTTTTGAAATGCATTTATTTTCCTGAACATTTAAGTACAGATGTGTAATATAGCATTCTAGCAAAGAATGTTTTTCCCATGCAAGGTGTTGCAACAAAATTTAAAATTTTACTAAAATTTTACTAAAATTTTACAAAATTTTACAAAAAATTTTACAAACTTTTTCTTTAAAAACTGACTTTTTTCCAGAATGAGAGGCTACTGTATATTTCTAAAGGAGTGAAGGAGTATCTTTTCCTCAAGAAAATCTACAGATTAACCTTGATTTTAATAAAAACCACCCCTCAAAAGATTTCAATTAAATGGGGGTCTTGAATCCAACATTCAGACAATAAGGGTGGAGGTTTTATTTCAAAAACATGATTTCAACTGCAATTATTTATGCCTTCTAAAACATTTATAATGAACATTTCCATTGATTCAGTATATTATAAATAGTTTGATTTAAAATCTTCAGAAGTCAAGTACTTGCCTCAAAACTAATTATGTAGTTTTTTTTGTGACAACCCAGTACTTCTAAGGCAGCTAAGGAATTTGGAAATTATTAACCAGCTGACTCAAAGTTGATTTACTGTTCTAAAGAAAAGAGTGCATGTTTAATTTTTTTTGTGTATAAAAGTTGAAACTTTGATAGGTCTTTGCACTGCATACACTCCATTGGAAACATTTGTTATTTTGTGGCATTAATTAAATAGTTTTGCTGAGTTAAAGTATTTTTGCTGAAAGGTAATTTCATCTTTCACATACCATGCTTTCAGTTTTCTGCCTTAGCTTTTTTTTTTCTTTATTCATTCACGGGATGAGGGCGTCACTGACCAGGCAGCATTCATTGTCCATCCCGAATTGCCCAGAGGGCAGGTTAGAGTCGACCACATTGCCTTGGGTCTGGAGTCACATGCAGGCCAGACCAGATGAGGATGGCAGTTTCCTTCCCTAAAGGACATTAGCTGCTCACCTTTGAGGCATTTGATGTAAGGTCACTTTAAAATATCTTAATTGTAAATCTGAGCTAAATTAGACAGAGAAGTGTTCCAATTGAAAGACAAATCCTCCAGTATTGGGTATTTTTTTAAAATGTAGGTCTTAGATCGGTGCTTCTGGCATGCATCTGTTACTAACTATATTTCTTCTTCCAGGTGTAATGGTCAGCGTGTGTTCACACAGAGAATCTTTTGCCATGATGCACCTCCATTTGTCATTCTAAATATGGAGCAATGGAAATCTGAGGAATTGGCCTATGTCCCGTATAATTTAGCTTTAGCAAAACAAAGGTAAGACTTTGGCATATTTCTCACTGGTCAAAGGTATCTGTGCTGTTTAGATACCAAAAATAATTGAGCTAAAGGCTATAGTTTGGTGGTCTTTTTAATCTTAGCTAGTTTCAAATAGATAATAATCAGTTAATATTTTTAGTAAGCAAGTCTGGCTATAGTTTAACACATTACTGTTATCACTAGTAATACAGTGAAAAAGATGTTTAAGGTTATGTTTTGGGGCTTCTCTAATTTAGCATTAGATGAAGGAGTTGTATGATTTAAACAGAATCTGCCTAATGATATGCTTCAGTGAGGCAAACTATTACAGATTTAAAAGGAAGGCCTAGAACATTTTACTGGGAAGAGGTAAGGCGTTCATACTTGAAAATAATGGCAAAAACATCTGTGTGTAACAGTAGGACTACTAGTCTTCAAAGTCTCAGTGAGGTGTTGAGAATGTTATGTTGGAAATAGCTGGGCTTTCAACTCTCCGTTTTGCCAAGGTGATCGAGTTTGTGTCTCCAAAGATTGCTGGTTAGCACTTTTAAGTAGAAGACCCATAGAGATAAACTTTGAGGGGGAAAGGTTTTCAAAATATCCCTTAACTCTCAGACATAGGAATCTGTGAGAGAGAGCAATTAGAGTTGCAAATCTCTATCATTCACCATGCAAGAATATTAGTTTGGACGTTGTATTCTGAAAAAAATGAACCAAATTTGTGAAGATTTGGAATGAAATTGGAAGATTGTAGTTTGATGAAGAATCACTGGGCAAAGCCCTCAGTGCGAAAGGAGGTTCTGGGATGAAAAGTTACGGGAAAGCTCCTGGGGAGCCAAAAATCAGTTTGGACTCTGGGTAAATTGAATTTCCACTTAAAGGGCAGTATAAAATATACTTCTGAAGTGTTCTTTTTGTTCTGTTAAGAGTAAAAAGGGTGGTTCAGTTTCATAGTTCGCATACAAGTCCCTTTCAAAAATAATGCTTAGTCAATGGTACTTTTAGTTGTTTGTTCCAGTAAAAGTCTTCACGTGAAATCTTGTCATTGTCCTTTCATCCATGAAAAAGACATTCCATTCTTACAGTTAAAAGTTATTGGTTTGATACATGGATCGTAAGACATGACATGATTTTGATTTCCTGTGCCATTTTTACTTGACCTGACCCACAGTAGGCAGCATTTCATATTTTGTATTACATGGCTGGAAACCAATCATCTCAACCTCAGGACATCACATAAACATAGGACCTACAATTTCAGCTACTTCATCAAATACCTTTTCTTTGATTGCAGTGTACATCACTGTTCACAACTCCTCACGTAATGAAGCAGTCCATGTGAATAAGTAACCTTCATGCTTTACAAGTGCCAAGCAATGACCATCTGCAACAGGTTCTAATTACTTCCCCTTGACATTGTGGCATCACCAGCATTGACACCCCATCAGCATCTTGGATGTCACCATTGACCAGAAACCCAATTGGACAAAACACAAATATCCAGCTACAAGAGCAAGACAGCCATT